TGATTCTTCTGACAAAGCAAGATGATTGAATACAGCCATTTTGAATTATATAAATCAAGTTGATGGCTTCTCAATAAGGAGGTTGATAATTCAAAATACAAAAAATATATTGTATCACTAATACATCAGCAAAAATGGACACGTTGAAGTGTTATGCAAACTAAAAGCGTGAAATAATAATGAAAAAATTAAAATTTACTTTTTGGTCAAGAGTACCAAGTTGATGCCCAAAATCAAATTCAGTAGAAATACTACCCACTGAATATTATCAATATCGATTATAGTAATTATGTTCCAAAATGTTTTCATTCTTATTTCAGTTACACGATAAATGAAATTCTGTAGACCGGCAATGCTGATTCTAAGGAAAACTTATTTCTCGCGTTACAGTCCATCACTTTGCTACAACTCAATGAGTACTTGATTCAGAACATTTTTGTCACTATTTTCTTTCTCACTTTTATTTTATTTTCATTTCCATCATTCAATTCATAGTACTTACATCTGGGACATATAGCACAAGTTTTTAGCGAAACTATGAATTGAATTCAAGTACAATATCGAATTAAAATCGATGATGATGATTTTCAATAACTGGGTAGCTATAATTTATTTTTAACGTAAAGTAGTTTTTCATTCTGTGCAAAACTTACTTCATTCCTTCTAGTATTTTAGCTCAGTGAGCTTAGTGGAATCTTTGCCTGAAAAAATTGTTTTCTAATAGTTTTTATTTTCATGATCTTACTACGGTGAAATAATGACTTTTTTGAAAAAAATTTATATTGTTTTTCTCAGCTCCTTTTGGGTGAACTCTCTGCGGAATCTGGAAAAATTTGTATCGAAGGAGAGGTATCATATTCCTCTCAGGAACCGTGGCTGTTTTCATCAACCATTCGTAACAACATTCTTTTTGGACAAACTTACGATGAAACTTTATACCTAAACACAGTTAGAGTATGTTGCCTTGAGAGAGATTTCGAACAGTTTCCAAATGGAGATATGACTATCGTCGGTGATAGAGGAGTCACTCTAAGTGGTGGTCAAAAGGCTAGAGTCAATCTCGCAAGAGCAGTCTATCGAAAAACCAACATTTATCTGATGGATGATCCACTTTCAGCTGTAGACTCACATGTGGGAAAACATCTATTTGAAGAGTGCATAGTAGAATACTTAAAAGGGAAAACTAGAGTCCTTGTGACACATCAGTTGCAGTATTTGAATAAAGCCGATCTGATCATTGTTATCAATCAAGTGAGTGAAACTCACAATCATCCCTATTATTTCAGTATTCAATTTTATTTTCAGGGTGTTATTGAAGCTCAAGGAACGTTGACTGAACTTTCAAAGTCGGGCGTTAATTTCACTGAAATGTTAGTGGATGAAAACACAGCAGATGAATCCGATCCGGAAACTACCGACAGTGAGGTCTATGCTGAGGAAAAAAATATTTTGTTCCACCAGAAAGTGAGTGAGAATCTCATTACACAATCAAAATCTCATTTTGACGTAACCAATAGTTACGGTGGAAATTCATCATTTCAGTAATTCAAACTTTCTTGATAAAACAATTTCAACTTCAAACACAATTCTCAATTAACATTATTGAACATTATTGTGAACATTATTGAAACTCTAGAATTGCACTTGTAATATTGGTTCCTTTGCAGTTCTCATTTAAAGAAATATATCGCATACTTACCATTATTCGGAAGTCTATGATATATTGTTTCTGCAGTATGAGAGTATGAAAACAGCGAAATGCCCATATCAAGGTCGAAATGGTTTCTAGGGTAGAAGTAAAGGTACCTGGTAATCGTGGAAGATAAGACTTTATACGAACGTTGAATAATGTTTGCTCTTGCCAAATCCGTGATGAAATGGCTTTCGATATGAAACAAGGTCTAATCTGATTACGTCATTCAATGTCAGAAAATTTGTTTTTTAATTGCATTTACTAATGGTTATTTCGGTATTTCTATACTTTTGGGACGCCCGATATAAGAGCACCTACTTTTTTAAATGTTGAACAATATTATGAAAATAATTTTCATCCATATAAACTGCTCATTGTTAGCCGAAAAACAAATTGATATTTGGGTATTGAATTTTTAACTTTTTGAGATAAATGGCCCTTTTTTTCAACGGAAAGCTCTAGGGAACACCCAATACGCTTTTTTTGAATTATGTCCTGAATGGAACGAAAACCCGTGTTACGAATTACACGTTAAAAGGTAAGACCACGTTAATCCTTAACTCTCACAAGTTTCGACTTCTAAGGGTTGTCATTCGTAGGGGTGCAACAGCTGGTTAACGGAAAAACAGATTCCAAACAGACTTTAAACTGACTTGTAGTATCTGTTTTCGTGTATTTCGGGGTATCTTAAAGTTGCTTAAAGGTTAATGACTGAGACCTGAAGTTTCTTCTGGTGTTTCTTATGGAATCTGGCACATACTTTGGTTTGATCAACTCACTTCCTGGAATTGCTCACAATTGTATTCAGTTACGAACCTTTTGCATTGATTCTATACAGTGCTAGTCAAAAGTCCCCTCCCCCCCTCGTATCTTTTGAACGGGTATACTTATAATAATGAAATTTGGAGTGTAGAAATAAACGGATATAGGCTTCTTAACTGGTCATAACAGGTGACGAAATAGTCATAAATGACGTCACAAGGCCACTGTGACCAAAAATTTTAAATGGGACCCTATGTTAAGTGACAGCTCGTTTGAAAGGTATTNTTTTTGGTCACAGTGGCCTTGTGACGTCATTTATGACTATTGCGTCACCTGTTATGACCAGTTAAGAAGCCTACATCCGTTTATTTCCACCCTCCAAATTCCATTATTATAAGTATACCCGTTCCAAAGATACGAGGGGGGGGAGGGGACTTTTGACTAGCACTGTATAACTAGTTTTTTGCACTCAAGGATAAATCACTTGAAATAGCTAATGTCCTAGCAAAACATGTTGTGATATATTCTTCAAATAAAAGTTGTGGAGATCAAATTGTGAGGTGTAGTTTTTTTTTAAATATTCAAGAGCCAAGTCCACAGAATCTCTTATCTAGAAACTCATACGGCCGAGCAGGTTTCCAGGTCTACCTCCATAGGCTGTCCCATTAACTATTCGAGAAAATGAAGCCGAAGTATCAAACTCTTCATTTCAGTGATTATGTACCGATGATTCGTAGAACTTTCTCACACCTCCATTTCGAACTCAGTGATTTATTGAACTAGCACAAAATGTTACTATTTATTATTCTTAATTTCGAATTCACGATAACAGGTTTATTATCTGAGTTGCATATCAAAATAAATGATAATAATTTCTCAGGTCTCCTATGTGAGTCCCCGCTAGCTTTTTCATATTTCTGATTGCGAACTATCGGAAGAGAGGTTAGCTTATCAAATGACAATTTTTTAGCTCCTTCTTCTCTGATCCTCTATAATTTCACACCATCAACTTTGTAATATACAAGTTGCTCAACCATTATGAATTCAAATCTTCCTGGCAATTATACATGAACTAGGGGCTCTGAGATTCTGTTGTGAATTGAATTCCAATAAATCTCTTTCATTCCCAATATCTGTAGACTCAGCCAGTACGAAAGCAATAAACTGTATTGAAAGTAAGCTTTTCAACACAACTCTCATAACGAGTTAGAGTAGTTGTACTCCTTTCTATATTTCTGCACCATTCAGTTCGCATAAATATGTTAGAAGGTTGAGGAAGGGGTTTTCTCTATCCATGGATTCACATTCATGGATACAAGGCTAAGTACTTTGGGAAGTAACCTGATGCGCCAGAGGTTTGACTCCATTGGTTATCATTATATAAGTCCCAGAAACGATTATGTAGTGAATTGAACAAATATAGAATGATACAATTTTTCAAAATATTTCAAAAATTATCACACGTTGAATTTAAGTTGAAAAGCTTTCTTTGGGGAACTGTTCTGATAAAATTCAGTGTGACGATCAAAGTGAAACAGATTGTTATATATTTGTTGAAAATTTCATTCAACGGCCATTCGTAAATGAAAATCATCACTCTCCAATATACTCAATATTGTGCTTCAATTCGGGGTGGCGGGGAAGCAAATGTGTGACAGGGTATTTATAGACTCGAATTTCTACTAAGACTTTTATTTGTTGGAAGCGTTGGAAATAAATATATTTTATGATAAACCCAAAAATAAAATATCGATGGCGAAATCATTGAATAGGAAAACATTTTCGAAGTTTATATTCTTTTGAAGAACTTGGGAGATAATTGGAGAAGCAAAAACCGTGCATTTTCAAAAACTACAGATGAAGTGAAAGAGCATATCTAAAAGTTGATATGACAACGAGCCGATTCACGGCGGATGGCACATTGGACGTTTCTGGTGAGCCAGACAACAAATCACTTTTGAAATGTAATCCAGAGCATATTTGGACATTGTCTACCCAACCAAAATATTTTCGACAATGCGGTGTTGCTACTTCCATAAGAAAGTAGTAGCAACTTTGATTGTTTTCTTAAAAAATAATGACCTCCAAAAATGCGGATATCTTTGAGTTAAGGAATACTAAGGTACCAAAATTTGGTTTAGCGTTAGTTGATACTTGAAGGTCTCCCACATTCCAGCGTTATCTCCGTAACTTCAATACAGAGTGATGAAAAATACAGTGTTTTCGTCTGCTTGAAGAAGTGACTGAAAGTTGATTATTTCGAATGTGACACCCTGTGTATCACTACAAATTCAGGAGGCTGGTGAAATTTGCCTACTGCTTCCTGCATTCATCGTGACAGATCTGATTTCATTGAAACCCAAATCTTCAAATGGTTAGGTGATCCTTTATAACAATTCATCTTTCGAACACACGGGTGTTTTGTGAACTTTTTCTGTAAACATTCCTCACAAATAAAAATTCAATGAATCAGGATCGGGTGATCTCGCTGGCCAATTCCATGGTACCAAGCGCATTATTCACCGATCATCAAAAAGATGTCCACTTCTGCGCTTATTTCTCTTGTACAGTGTGCAAAAGCTTCGTCTTTAGTACCGACATTTTCGATATTCTTCGAGTAGCAGATTATCGACGAAGCTCTCTACAGTAGGGGAGAGTGTTGTACGATTTTATTGTTTTAACCCTTTCGGTCACGAATTAATTTCAATGAAGTAACAATTCTGATTTTTTGCACAGTGATTAATTGATTTTTTCAGGATTTTTAAGAATATTTGCAAATTTGTACGTACCCCTAATTAAGGGTTGCAAAATGTAGTCAGTTGACTACATTGTCATCAAGTGGTGAATTTGGTTTGTAGCCAGTTGACTACATTGTGAACAAATAATGTTGGTCCAATTAAAAAAAAAATGTGTTGGATACAAATGTATTTAAATTTATACAAATGCAAAAACTTAGTGTTATTGGGTATGAAAATTTAGGAAACAATTTTCAGTTTTTGTCAAACATAAATGTATTGAACACTTTTGACATTTTACTTTTGAAAAACTTTTGCATTTATGCATTTTACATCGGAATAGCATGTGTAAATATCCTCAACGTCCATTTCTTTGACCGAATAAACGTCCTGTAGATTGCTATCATAAAATCCAACTTATCTACTCCTCCCATGGATTTATTATAAATCCTCACTACTTCTGGCCGTTGAATAAATATATACTCTTTTTTTACTTTGTCCCACCGTTTGCAACGATCAGGTTGACCTATGCCCAGAAAAGAAGATGCCATATACAGTGGCTTGTTGTCAAACCATTTAGTCACTATTACCTGACCGTCTTCACTTATTACTTCTTCCATGGCTCCACGTCCTTTCTTTTCCATAACTGCATCTGATTCCAGTGGTGGTTGCCTAAACCTGTCGATTCTAGCCACTACAAGCAAGTGCAAGTGCAATAAATGGATTTGTTTTGATGGTATTGGATGACATTATAATTGAAAAAAAAATTGTCAAAAAAAGTGTCACAGGTACTTGATCAATACGGGTACTCAGTTTTGAGACAACTGCCCCAGCCAACCCAAATACATCTTTTTCAGTGGCATCCAATTCAGTAGTAGCACCCTGGTAAATTATAAAATCGTATAACATACCAATGGAGCCACATATGGCAAATATCTTTATGTCCCACGGATTGGGCTTATTTTTGATATATTGTTTTACATCTAAGCGGCCTTTGAAAGATACAATTTGTTCATCTATTGCCAGCTCCGATTCTAATGGTAGCGATAAGCATCTAGCTCTGATGGTATTGAAAAGTGGTCTCACTTTCCAAAACCTATCTGACGAATTTGGGTCCCTGGTTTGTATGTCGACAAAATGCAAATGATTTCTTATTGCAAAAAATCTATTCACAGGCATATTATCTGCAACAATGAGTACTTTCATAGAATATGAAGTATTCCAATAAAATCTTACTCGAGGGTAATATAAGTTTCCCATAATTATATGGATACCAACAAAAGTGTGTAACTCGGCGATAGATGTAAAAGCAAATCGTGAATTCTGTTGCATATAAGTTAGTATATTGCATCATTGTCTCAAATAGTTCCTCAGTAAAGTACTGCCTCACTTGGCAGCTTTTTCTTCCATCTGTAGGTACTCCGGAGTCAAAAATTTTACATTCTTTCTCCATTTGATTTTTTTTATCAGTCAAATCATTCTCCTTCATAAAGTTTGTTAGTTTTATTTTTTTAGACTCAATCAACGGAGTTTCGATTTCGATTTCGGTACCATATGTTACATAAAAGTTGCAAAAGAATAAAAAATACCACAATTTACCTTGCTCAATAGGCGTATCTCGATCAGTAAACTCATCATTTTCGTCACTAAGGTACTCTACTCTATATCTGATAAATTATCAGCCAACTCAACAAGTTCCTCGTAAGTTAACAGACGTTTCTGACTCATATTGGCTTCTAAAAGTTAATGTTTCAAGAAACTGTACAATAATCTGAGAATAAAAAACATACCTCGATAAAGCTGTATAGTCACAAAGTAGTCAAATAACTACAACTGTTTTTCGACAAATATATTTTCCACAACACAGTAAATAACACAACTTTATCTAACCAAACATTTACTACTGAACCTCCTGAAACTATGGAACTAACAATTATATTGAAAATTGTGGCATTTTACGAGTACATAGAAAAGTATTACCGTGACGACAAACTATGGCCGACAGGCACCTGCAGGAAGCAAACGTTTTTGTTTTGTTTGTCCCGAACTTTGTTGTTAAATGGCATTGCGGTCTTACATTATGTTGTTATGATGTAGTTAAACGACTACAATATGAACCAAACATATGCAAGCAGTTTGTAAGATCATAAGGGCTTTGAAAAATTGACGTAGTCAATTGACTACACTGTGACCGAAAGGGTTAAATGGAATATGTGGGTTCTACCGAAATACCTTCATCACTCAGGTCACCCTCATCATTTACCATATCTCCTTCCACAATCTCATCGCGCTCTAAGACAATGAAAAGAATATCACTAAGTCATATTCACATTTCAAAGCTTTCTATTCACACAATAAAAAAATCACAAGGCCCTACNACTTACCTAAATACATGTAGGTACTTAGTTTTAGACCAAATTACTTCCCAAAAATGGCCTTTTATTATTATCTATGTCTGTAATTTTTAATTTACTTTAATTATTAAGTTTAATAATCCTAAGATTTGCCTACGCCCATAGACGACAACGAAATTCAGGCAAATTTTATGACACTTCATGATTTATTACTCTACACTCTTTTGAAATAGACTATAGGTATAACAACAGGAGTCCTCTTTTTGCCAGTGTTAATTCGCGGCATCTTGATAAATCTGTAAAAAATCACAGTTGGCAAAAAAGCAGCACAGAAAACATCCTTAATTTACGTTTTTTATAATAACTTAAATGGCATGTACCTTTGGACACTCCCAAGGTTCATCCAATTTACTGTCCCAAGGTACGTGTCATGTTTTTTTGCTAAATTTGGTTGATTAAATTGTGAAGATTAAAAATAACAGATATTCCATATCATCAAAGAAAAGAGAAGATATTAAAGTATAAACTTACATTGTCCGGCTTTGTTAAAATTTGAAAAGAAGATCCAAACACGTACAGTTGCGAGGATGAAAAAGTAAACTTGTTGAGGTTAAAAACGAAAATATTATCTGAAACACGTGTACCGTTTCGGAGTTCAAATCAGAAAGGCAAGGTCAAACGTCTGCACACTACGGTTGCTCTATTCGATCTGTTTTGCTGACTACCGAGAAATATCGGCTGTGGCTCTTTTGTCCAGAGGTACATGCGTCCCGAAGTACAACACCTTCCCCTATCCTCCAAAATATTCCGGTAGTTTCTGGATGTTGATGATTCGTTCTATATCGCGTCCTACATCAATTTGTTGTCCATTAACATGAAGAAAACATTAAAACAAATTTTTTCTTGAAATCCGGCTTCTCTTGTGACGTGAGGATTTTCACTGGACCAATATTAACAATGTTTTCAATGGAAAATTCATTTCCTCGAAAAGTTCGATTCATCAGTTCAAATAATTTCATTAAAAAAATGGATTTTATTGAATGAGTATCAACAACATTTCACTCAATTCAACTCTTGAGGATCTTGAGATTTCATCGCTTGAATTTTGGTGAATGTATAACTATGCATTTCATGTCTTCGCAAGATTCTTTGAACTGATTGATATTTTATACTCGAATCTTCTTCAGCTCTTCTTATCGATGACTCGGGAAAGACGTGAGAATATGCAAAGAAATTAATCTGGTTGTCTTCAGAAGTTACGGGTCGAAGCAAGTTTTTTATTTTTCTCAATCTTGATCCAAATGCATTGAAATTGTCCTGAATTCGTATACATTTTTTGAGGTTCACTTACGGTAGATTTGGATACCTTTTGTTGATACCGAATGGAATACCATTCTGAATCGACATTTCCACAAATGAATGCTCAAAGTTCGAAACTTGACTATTTTGGTATACGCATGATATACATGAAAAAACAGATTTCAACAGCCTCCTAATATGTAATTATACATAGAGTTTCACATTTGAAATAATCAATTTTCAGTCACTTTGCAAGTAAACGAAAAAACTGTATTTATTATCATTCTGTATTGAAGTAACGGAGATTACGCTGAATTGTGGGAAGTCTCCAAGTATCACCTAACTTCAAATCAAATTTTGGTAACATAGTATTTCTTAACTCAAAGATATCTGCGTGTTTGGAGGTCATGATTTCCGAAGAGAAAAACTGAAATTAATTCATACTTTGGAAACGGTAACAGGGAAATATCAAGAAGAGTTGTCAAGTAATCGTCGAGTAATTCCAAAAATGATATCATATACAGGATATTCCATTTGAAAAATAAAAGTTGCTACTACTTTTTGATGAAAATGACAATACTACATTGTCAAAAATATTTTAGTTATGTAGATAATATGCTCTCCATTGAATTTTCAAAGTGATCCGGTGTGTGGTTCACCAGAAACGTTTAATGTGCCATCCACTGTGAATCAGCCTGTATAGCGAATCACGTGTTACGGTTTTATATCACATTGAAGTGTGGATTATAATGGATTTTCATCCATTATATCGAGTATCGGTCAGTTCTATCATATATCTGAAAGAGAAATGACACGTCAGTAGCGCATGTGAATTATATTTAGTTCATATAGAAGTATTTTCAAAAACTTTCTTTCCCAAAAAGATAAAATCTGCTTTCATAATGTTCGAATTGATAAAACATAAACAAGATATTCTTCATTTTTCCTGAAAAACACCTTGACATAGATATAATTCTTTCGAATTGATAAAAAATCTCTTGTAACTGAATATCACCAAAATGAGTGGAAATTTGAAGAAATAATTACTATCGTCATGGAACAGCCATTGAAGTTTGAAATATATGATATCCTATAAATATCTCGTCTATAAATATCTTGTTATTTGCCAAAGGGCAAATAAATTTGACAAATCCAATCACTGGAAGCAGATACAAGTATGAAAATGATATTGTTTCCTGAATATCGATAAAAATGAAATTGTTTGCTCAGATTCTTCAACATAATAATAAAAGGCTCTATAATTCACAACTTCTCCTCTATTCAATCTCCTTACCGTTCACGAGATCCAAATGCATCAACTCGAATTTTTCCCATACGGTACTGAACAAGCAAATAATACCGGCATATGCTAATGCACAATGATGCGTTTGTACAAAGATGAGAAAAGTGATACAACTCCAATGATAAACTTTATGAATACCCAATTTGAAAAAATATAAAAATCTGTCTCAGTTCACAGAGAGGTAAATTTTACTAATCGAGACCAACAAAAGGAAGGTATTCATCCACTGTAAACCACTTTTCGACGACATCGACAGACGGGCTCCATAAGATGGCAATAAACTTGTAGCAGAGAGAAACTTGAAGAGGTTCAATGTCGCTCTCTTGGTATTCGACAACGTATTCGACAACGTAGCATGCCGTTACTTTGAGCATGAATAATAACATACAGAAATAATTGAAAGTATTTTTTATATGGAAGTGCTTCGTACTGCAATGTAGACTGAATTAAACCCAGAATTGGTAAGGATGAGCAAAAAATGAGACAAGTGAAATAGGTACAATCATTTCACAGTATGATTGATATATCGCACTAGTATTTCTAAAGTGACATAAGTCAAAAACCTACATTTCTGGGAAAACAGGAAAAACTGTTAGTGAGCTTGGGGGGAAAAACAATTACATAATCAACTTATCATTTCCAAAAATAGGCGGTAGGAAAATCTGATCCAACATTGTTATTGCATAATGTCGATCCCAAGCCTTGAATATTGCGCTTTTTGAGTTGTGACAATTTTTATGTAGTTGAAATTTACAAAGGACTG